TCTTCTTCTTCTTCTTCTTCTTCTTCTTCTTTTAATGTTTATTTATCTTAGAGAGAGAGAGAGAGAGAGGGAGGGAGAGAAAGACAGAGCATGAGCAGGGGAAGGGCAGAGAGCAAGGGAGACACAGAATCCAAAGCATGCTCCAGGCTCTGAGCTGTTAGCACAGAGCCCAATGTGGAGCTTGAACCCACAAACCATGAGATCATGACCTGATGCAAAGTTGGACACTTAACTGACTGAGCCACCCAGTTGCCCCCCAATCTTTGTCTTCTAATTGGTATGTGTTACACCATTTACATTTACTGTAATTATTGATATGTTGTGGCTTAAGTCTGCCATTCTATTTGTTTTCTATCTGTTTCTTCTGTTTTTATTTATATTTATTTTTTTTATTTAGCCTGGGTTGCTTAAACATTATTTTAGAATTCATTCACATTTTTAAAAAATTCTATTTTCTCTTTTTTTTAAATGTTTTTATTTGTTTTTGAGACAGAGAGAGACAGAGCATGACCAGGGGAGGGGCAGAGAGAGAGGGAGACACAGAATCCGAAGCAGGCTCCAGGCTCTGAGCTGTCAGCACAGAGCCCGATGTGGGGCTTGAACTCACGAACTGTGAGATCATGACCTGAGCTGAAGGTGGATGCTAAACAAACTGAGTCACCCAAGTGCCCCTAAAAATTCTATTTTCTTTTAAACCTCTTTATAGCTTTTTGTTTAAAGTGTGCCTTTTGTAGGGAGCATATAGTTGAGTCTTGCTTTTTTATTCACTCTGCCAATCTTTACCTTTTATATGATGTGTTTAGATCATAAACCTGATGTAATTATTGACATGGTTAAAGTTAGATCTATCATTTTGTCATCTCATCATTTGTAGCCTGTTTTTTTGTTCTTCTGTTCTCAGATTTTTGCTTTTTAAAAATTTTTCTTAGTATTCCATTTTAATTTATCTGCTTGCATTTAGGCTGTACTCCTTTATGTTATTACTATTTTTAGTCGTTGGTCTTGGAATTAAAATATACATCCCTAATCAAAGTTTGTTTTAATACAGTGGATCAAAAGCTATCCTGGAAACCCACCTCAGATGTCTATTTATATCTCATTGACTAAAACTGGTTTTCATCTCTGCCCATTTATTTTTTTTTAATTTTTTTTCAACGTTTTTTATTTATTTTTGGGACAGAGAGAGACAGAGCATGAACGGGGGAGGGGCAGAGAGAGAGGGAGACACAGAATCGGAAACAGGCTCCAGGCTCCGAGCCATCAGCCCAGGGCCTGACGCGGGGCTCGAACTCACGACCGCGAGATCGTGACCTGGCTGAAGTCGGATGCTTAACCCACTGCGCCACCCAGGCGCCCCTCATCTCTGCCCATTTATAAGCAATCATTGTCCATGGGTAGTGACTAGATTAGACAAATTAAAATTCATATTCTGGAAATGGAAGGGCAATCCATCTACACTGAAATCGAGGGGTCTCTACCTGCTACCTGAATAAACTGGTGTTTTCTAGCAGGAACGAAGGGGAGTGAATATAGGATAAACAAGAGTCAGCACCTGCCACAGTGATTAATCTTATATAATATACCTGATTTGCCAAATGTTTAATCTCAGTACATTTTAACACAATTCTTTTTTTGTTAATTTTTGTTATTAATAATTGTTTTACTAAGGAAAGCTATCCTCTTCAAAGTACTATACAAACTCTTGCTTTTAGTATTTGTTGGCACTATACTTCCTGTTCCCAGTGTTGTTTGTTTGGGTTAGGAGTGACATTTAGAACAAAGTGTGCCCAGGGGCGCCTGGGTGGCTCAGTTGGTTGAGCGTCTGACTTCGGCTCAGATCATGATCTCACAACTCCTGAGTTCGAGCCCGAGCCCACGTTGGGCTCTGTGCTGACATCTTGGAGCCTGAAGCCTGCTTCGGATTCTGTGTCTCCCTCTCTGTTCCTTCCCCACTCGCATTCTGTGTCTCTCTCAAAAATAAATAAACATTAAAAAAAAATTTTTTTTGGAACAAAGTGCGCACAAAACTGGCCTATGGCAGACAATAATTATAATCTATTAATGAGTGAGTGAACAATGAATGGATGCATATAAACAGCTATTTTCTGACTATAAAAATAAATTTTGATAAAAGACCAAATTTATCCTAGTGGATCAGAATTTTTTCCAATGAGATTATTTTGTCGTATAGGAGACAGTCATAGTTAAAACAAAAACAAAGCAGGAAAAAAGCTTAATTTGTGCCAGTGGGTCGTTTCCTTTCCCATTTTTAAAAGAAGGTAGGTGTTATAAACAGTGTTACTTGTAAGTAACAGTAAATAAGCTTAAATAAGTAAATAAGCTTAAATGGGGGGACAAAAGCATTGGCATTTGCAAAGTTTAATTAAATATAAAATGTTTCGCTTGTGAAAACCAGGCCTGTGATTTTGAAAACACATTTCCTACTTTCTTCTCTAATGGAAGCTTACAGCTCTTCATCAATGATGATTGAATTATAAATTATCTAGGGCAGAGACTGTATTTTCTATCTCATTAACAGCTTATGCGTGCAGAGAGACAGGTTGTTGAGCCTCATGATGGTTTACAATTTAATAAATGCTTAACATAGGCGTAATCTTATTGAATTTCCTTAACGTTCCAAGGAATTCTCCAACTTTATGGATAAGGAAGCTGAGGTCCAACAATGAATGAAAAATTTCAATTCACAAGACTTGAATTGTTCAGGTTGAAACCGGAATTGGCTCCTCAGCGCAATACTCTGTCCTCTACCCAGCATCCTCAGGCCCCTCTCCCCTGCCTTTGCACAATCTTCCTGGAGCTGGGCTGCATACAGTTTGCATGGATACTCTCCTGCCACCTTGGTGTTTCCTAGAGGGACTGCATGGGCCATTTGGGTAGGAAATCATTTATTGTGTAGGGTTCTGTTACTTAGCTTTGTTGGACCTCACCAAGTGCCAGCACTGTCCCCCTGTCATTATGACATCCAGATATGGCCTCCACGTTGCCAGATGCCCCCTGGGAAGCAACACTGTTCCAGAGCTCTCCCCCCAGGCTGCTTCTCTGTCATCATAAATGGCAGGACTGACAACCACAATGAATAAAAACAGCCTTGATAAAGCATTTTGAACATCTTTGTCCCAACACATATACCCTCTTGTTTGCAAGGCTGCTCTAGGACACAGGAGGACATGATTAGAGGGGATAAAGGAGTATTTGAAATCCTTTAAGCAAAAGGAGTGCCAAAGTTTAGAAATGAAGCTACCAACTGGGTTAGAAGAATCACCCCCAAAATAATCATGATGATAACAACAATGATGCTAACATCGAGTTATTGCTATGTAATAGGTGCTGTGGTAAGCCACTTACATATATTATCTGATTTCAGTCTCCCAACAGCACCATGTGGTTGTTGCTACAATTGTCCTCATGTTATAGAAGAGTGAGCTACCATCATCCCTTGCTGTAGACATTACTATAACTTCCTTTCTGGTCTTTCTACTTCCATGGTTACTCCCATGTAGTCCATTCTCCACAAAATCAATCTGAGCCATTTTTATAACATGAAATCAGACATAGTACTCCTCTGTTAAGACTCTCCAATTACTTCCTGTCACTGGATAAAATCTAAAGTTCCACCATGGCCCATGGGGCACACATACGCTGCCCCACACCCCTCCCTGTCTTCATCCTCTGATTCACATGGACCGCTCTGCAGCCACAACAGCTCCTTGCCCTACTTCAAAGCTTGTTCCTGTCTGATGTTCTTTCCCCAAGATAGGACACAGTCCTTTCATGTATTTAGCCTTTGACCCAACCTGACACCTGACAGAGCCCTTTCCTGAAGGCTTTCTCTAAAATTGCCTCCCTTCTTCACTCTCTTCCCATCATCCTGTTTTACTTTGGTGTCACTTGACGTTATAAAGACTGCTTCTTTATCCATCTGCTCATTGTTTCTCCTTTCATAAGAATGGGAGTTTGGTAGGTGGGGGCTTTGTCTTGCTCACCCTTTAGAAAATTGCTTGGCATATAGTAACTCAATATTTGTTGAATACATGTGGCTTAGAGAAGTCAAGTTTATTGCCACATATTCGGAGCCAATAAGGGGTAGATTTGCACTGTGAACTCCCAAGAATGTCAGAGAAGACTCTTCTTCAGGAAGAAAAAAACTACAGATGGCAGAGAAGCTTAGGATGGGAGATAGGAACAGAACAAGGCCTTTCTTCTCCTCTCTCCAAGGGATGTTCAGAAGAACTCCTTATTTATTTATTGATTGATTGATTAATTGAGTCCATTCAACAAGAGAGACTTGTACAAAAGGCAAAACTAAAGTGAAGACACTTTCACAGACTTCAAGTCAGGAGTCTGCAGATAAACTAGAACTAAAGCCCATTTCTCTTTCTGGGCTGTGCACTTTGTTAGATAGCTGTATGCTTCAGCCTTGGTCCTTAATTGTTATCTTAAAGGAGTTATTGCAACTGGGAGCTGTGTGCCCTTAAAATAGCTCTGTAGGGGTCATTTTGAACAAATTAATTCAGGCTTAGTTAAAAAATAACCAAACCAGAATTGCAGCCTGCCCATTTATCTTTGCTTTGTTCTATTGTTTTAGAGTTATATTCAACTTATGAATTTTCCCCTTTCAGTTCTTGGCATTGTATCTTTTTTCCCTTTCTCCTTCCATACCATAATCCCTAGGGAGCCTAGCTAGCTCTATATTGAATACTTAATTTTTTTTAATTATATAAAATATTAAAACGGTTTATCTTGGGATGCCTGGGTGGGCTCAGTCAGTTAAGCGTCTGACTCTTGGTTTCAGCTCAGGTCGTGATCTCAGTTTGTGGGTTTGAGACCTGTGTCGGGCTCTGCGCTGGCTCAGGAGTCTCTCTCTCTCCCTCTTTCTCTGCCCCTCTCCTGCTTGAGCTCTCTCTCCCTCCCTCTCTCTCAAAATAAATACAGAAACTTAAAAAAAATAAATAAATAGAATGGTTTATTTTTTTCACCAGGGGGAAGCAAGGGAAGCCGACAGAATAGAGTCTCAAGTGATGTGGACCCAGTTTCTTGCTGGAATTTGCAAAGCCGATTTAAGCATGATCTTAGTTGTCAGAAGATTGCCTTTAAAATATAAAAATTAAAGAAGACAGCCTCTGCAAATGCAAATTTTGAAGAACTTGGAATCTTTTTCATTTCAAATATAATATTAACCACAGAGCTCCTCTAGCTGGATATCACAGAGTGCACAACCTAAAGGAAATCAAAACAATAAAAACAGCCTCTCTACCTTGCTGGTGTTTGGTGATATCTTTGCCCTACACTGTCTCCCGCATGTCACTGTTTAGAAGAATAGCAGTGTGCATGAGAGATCTAAATCACAATGACTAGCTAAGAAGCAAGGACTGGATTTTAGCCGATGCAATGTGAGGACTTGCAATATGGAAATGATGCTTCCAAAACTTTTCAGGGTTGTTTGCCGCACTGTTAGGGGCAAAAAAAAAAAGTTTATGTGGGGGAAAAAAAATGGTAAGAATGCCTGAATGTCACATAGGGTTTAAGACAAAAATGCAAAGCAGTTCACAGGGAGGGTTAAAGGCATAAGGAAAGCCTTTGACTTGAGGTGGCCCACACACCTGTGGGATTCAGGGGTCTGGGCTTCCAGAAGGATGACGTGGTGGGCTTCAGCACTTGTTGGACTATTGGCAGAGCTTTTACATTTCTGCAATTTCCCTCCAGTACCTCTGAAGATGTCTTGGCAAGATAGCATTTCCATATAAATGCCTCAAATAGAACTAAATTTTAACAGAGAGCTGTACTGTCAAAGGGTTGCAAGTGAATAAGAATGAGGAAGAAATCACATTAGACATTTATTCAGTTTCACATACCCATCGTTCCACCATACTTACAATGCTCTACTTAGTCACAGAGGAAATGAACTGCAATTTTAAAGAGATTATTAAATACACATGCACAGCCATGCAATATAAACAGCATGCTTAACTATCCAAAATGAAATTTGTTTTCAATAATTCAAGCATTTTCACTTATAAAGGAAATACCAAGATTAAGCCAGTAAAAGCTTTTTCATGATAAATCATGAAAGGAACGATTTACCAGGAGTGCATTGTACATAAGCAATCTGTATGGAATATTTTTGAGAATTTCAGCCTATCACAGACATAGTAGTTTTAATGACTACTTTTTAAAGTCCTGAGTATTTTTGCCAAAGTGTCCCTATAATCCAGTTTTAACTTGCTCACAATTAAGCTTTTCAGTTTACATAAAAGATCATTTATAGCTTGCAGTCTATTCTATCTTGCTGAACTATAGGCATAGAGCAGTTTCACTCCCTGACTTTAGCCCTCAAATTCTAAGGACAAAAAGAGATAGCAGGGAAATTTATAGAATAATGAATTTCCTTTATTAGCAGGGTAACATGGGGAGATTTGAAATGTTCCACCACCTAAAAAAACTTCAACCCCTTTTCACCCCATAGTGTTTGAAATATACAATTAAAGACAAAATTTTTAAAAACATTGTTGGCCTCCAAGGACCCTCTTCTACAATGGCACTCCCTTGGGGGTATAGGGCAGGCCTCCATTCCCAAGGCTGGGAGATGAGAATACACGTTTGGGCCATCCTCTCTTGGTGGTCCAGACATGACCAAGGACTCTGGGAAGGGCCTGTGATGACTGGTGAGGCTCAGGGATCTTCTGCAGTGGGACAGCAGAGGCAAGTCACTGCAAGGGAAAGGGGGCTCCAAATCCATCCAGGCACGGGGCTACCTTATAGTTTTACCCAAGACTAGCCTTGATCTCTGCAGCCTCTAAACTGTTGTGAATAGTGTGAGGAGGCTGGGGGGACGGTGGTGGGAGTTGGAGGAAGGGAAGGTTTGCTGAGGTTTTCATGAATTGATGTTTAGCATTCTGTGGGGGAAAAAAAATGAGGGCTTATTCCAATGCCCACTTAACTGTAACTGCTTGATGTAAGGAGTCTAAGCGCTGGAGGCTAAGCAATGAATTCCCTAGTCAACTAGAGAACAAGATGGGGTTGACAGGTTCTGCACTTTGTATCTCTAACTCCATAGACAAGGCTGATCCTGGGAATAAAGTAAGAACTAAGTTCCAGAGACCCCAGTCTTGGAGTTCTGGGACTACACCTAGAGAGTGGGGACGTGGTTGGGGATGTGAGCTGGTCCAACAGAATATCAGAGGGGTTGGGGGGGCAAAGGAGCAGAACTTAGCTTCCCTGAGGGCTCAGCACCAGGCATTGTGGCACAGGTCATGCTAAAGACACCCCAAGTCTTTACAACCCACAGCAGTTCAGAGGATAAAGGGAAAAGATAGGTGATGGTTTGCTGAGTCTTCCTCTCCAGCTCCTCTAACACAGTCTTCATATTCAACCTCCTCATGTACTCCAAATTCTATCACTGCCCATCCATGCCATAACAGGTTCTGGTTTTGTGTTTCCTAGGGAAATCATCTTTCTTTTTGGTGTCAATCATGATCGTTTCTTTATATATCCCCGTAACACTCATAGTAATAAAATGGTTATTGTTAACCATCCCTCTCTACTGATTTAAACATCAATGGTGGGGTTGAAGGGAACCTCATTAAAAAGACATGCTGACAAGCAGCAGTTAAGGTCTCATCTGAACAATCCAGCAGCAAAGTACCTTGGTGAAGGACTGGAGAGCCAGGAAAGTACTCCATAAGGCAGACACCCTTCAGGTGGGGAACAGGCATGGGCTAAGACTCTAGAAGCCAAAGGCTAACCATCTTGGTTCTTTGTTTTTAATCTCCTCACCACTGGACATAGTTGGTGTTCATTAAATGTTGACTAAATGCACAAACCTTTTTAGGGCACTTAGATCTCTCCCTTTTAGTACTCACTTCACCAAACCTGCCCTCTCACATCCTAATTCCATCCCCAATAACCAGCCTAGATGCACATACTTTCAACAAAATTCTACCAGACTAACTTATGTATCCATGACTACTCAAAAATATCTCGACTCTTGTAATATCAAACAAAGCCCATAAATAATCAAATACTATGCATACATTAAAAGAACGAGGGAAACCAGACTTTAGTTTAAGAATGGACCTAATTCTGTGGAAAGCATATACTTATTTGCAGGAAGAAACTCTTCAGAAATCATCAGCTTTTGCCCACCCCCACAACTTTCCTTATTCTGACACATTCTCCACAGCTGTGGAGACACAGCTTTTCTGTCTCAGTACCCAAAACACTGATTATTGTAGCTGTGTTGGAAAATAGAACTCATGTATTTCAATTTTCTCATTTGGTAGATAAGGGACCTGAAATTCAGAGTGCTTTAATGATTATCTCAAGGTCTTACTTCTAGTTAGAAGTACTAGAACCAGGGCACGTAGGTGGCTCAGTTGGTTAAGCATCTGACTTCGGCTCAGGTCGTGATCTCACCATTCATGAGTTCGAGCCCCACATTGGGCTCTGTGCTGACAATGCAGAGCCTGGAGCCTCTTCAGATTCTGAGTCTCTCCTTCTCTCTCAAAAATACATAAACATTTTAAAAAATAAACTCTTAAGAAAGTACTAGAATCAAAGAACAAATCTCCAGACTCTCGAGCTAGGGTCATGTCTCCCACAAAGAACAGACAGAAGGGGGCAAGAGATGGGCTGTCATCAAACCTGTTAAAGCAATCCATTCAGTTATTAGGGATAGATACACGCTGAGAAGAATGAAAACGGTAGAACTATTTATACATGCTAACATGGAAACACCTCTGGACATTATTGAATGAAAACAGCAGTTGCCAAATGTTACATAGAGTAGGAGTCCATTTAAGTGAACCAAAACGAGTAGTGTATTTTCTGTGAACAAAATCTGAAGGATGCATTCCATTCTGATAACAGCAATTACCTCAGGGGAAAACTCTAGAAGTAGGGGATAGCGGTCAAAGGAAAGTTTGTCTTTCCTTATCTGTATTGTTTGAATTTTTCTGAGGAGTGACTATTTAGGGAGTAATTATTTAAGAATTAATTCCAGGGGCGCCTGGGTGGCCCAGTCGGTTAAGCATCCGACTTCAGCCAGGTCACGATCTCGCGGTCCGTGAGTTCGAGCCCCGCGTCGGGCTCTGGGCTGATGGCTCAGAGCCTGGAGCCTGTTTCCGATTCTGTGTCTCCCTCTCTCTCTGCCCCTCCCCCGTTCATGCTCTGTCTCTCTCTGTCCCAAAAATAAATAAACGTTGAAAAAAAAAAAAGAATTAATTCCAAAGTAAAGCTGCATTGTTTTGCTATACCCCATGTCACCCTGATGGCTTTGTTTCTACCACCATGGATCATGCTCAGAGGGACTCTGTTAACCTTTATCCCGGTGGAAGGCCTAGATTAATCCCAAAGTTTTAAAAATTTCTTTAATGTTTATTTTTTTCATTTTTCAGAGAGACAGAGCATGAGCAGGGGTTGGGGGGGGGGGGGGAGGAGCAGAGAGACAGGGAGACACAGAATCCGAGGCGGGCTCCAGGCTCTGGGCTGTCAGCATAGAGCCCGCCGTGGGGCTCAAACCCACGAACCCTGAGATCCTGACCTGAGCCGAAGTTGGACGCTTAACCGATTGAGCCACCCAGGGACCCTGATTAATCCCAAAGTTTTAGGGCTGATGGTCTGATATGGGGGGAAGTGAGAGAGTGTGAATTTTATTTTCCTCAGAACTACACATTACCTTCCTCCTCATGATGGTTGCCCTTTCACACCTTTACCTCAGGTTTAGCCAAACTCCTGGAATATAATAATAATGATGATGATGATAATTGAATATGCAAGTACTTGTAATAATAAGTGACAATAGCTATGTTCTTTTGAACACTAACTCTATCCTGGAAGCTATGCACCTTCATGCATTATCATTCTTTTTAAATCTTTATTAACATCACTCTGAGGTAAGTACTATTGTTATCCCCATTTTAGAGGTGAGAAACTGAGGCTTGAAGAGATCAGGGAACCTGACTGCAGACACCTGGCTGGTGAGTGGAGGAGGCTGGGCCAGGACCCAGACAGTTTGACTTGAGTCCGTGCTCAGGCACAGGTGTTAGCCTTCTTGTGTTTGGAGAAACGCCCACCGCCAGCATC